CAAACCAAACCAACCCCCATCACGTCACCCTCCCGCCCGCCCCCACTGCACTTGATTTTGCTCTCTGCGCGCGCACACACACACTCACCGCACGCACGCACACTCTCTCTTTCTTTTCTCCGCATGTCATATGCCCCATGCCACCGCCGCCGCACTGCCGCAGCCCCAAACTGACCACAATAACCCCGCAGTGTGCAGAGCGCAACGTCGCCCCACAGCCAGAACAAAATGTACGGAAGCCAATTGAGCCACTCGCCAGACTCGTCGTCATCGTCGGTCGATGAGGCCGAGAACACGGCCGACGAGGAGGACTCGGAGGACTACTGCAAAGGCGGCTACCACCCAGTCCAAGTGGGCGAGGAGTACAAGGACGGCAAGTACACGATTGTGCGCAAACTCGGCTGGGGCCATTTCTCCACCGTCTGGCTGTCCAGAGACAACACCAATGGCAAGCACGTCGCCCTCAAGGTCGTCCGCTCCGCTGCGCATTACACCGAGACGGCCCTCGATGAGATCAAGCTGCTCAAAAAAGTCGTCGAAGCCAACAAAGACCACCCCGGCCGCGCACATGTCGTCAGTCTGCTCGACTCATTCAACCACAAGGGCCCCAACGGCGTCCACGTCTGCATGGTCTTTGAGGTACTGGGCGAGAATCTCCTGGGCTTGATCAAGCGATGGAACCACCGCGGCATACCCATGCCACTAGTCAAGCAAATCACAAAGCAGGTGCTCCTCGGCCTCGACTACCTCCACCGCGAGTGCGGCATCATCCACACCGATCTCAAGCCCGAGAACGTTCTTATCGAGATTGGCGACGTTGAGCAAATCGTAAAGACATATGTAAAAGAAGAGCCCACAAAGAAGGGTGGCGAAGATAGCGTTAGGAACGGCAGGCGGAGGCGAAGGACTTTGATCACAGGCAGTCAGCCACTCCCCAGTCCGCTCAACGCGAGCTTCAACCACGCTGAGCTGTCCAGCTTCCCTGGAAGCACCCAGAGCCTGAACAAGGTTATGAGCGAGGGTACAGGTAAACTTTCCCCCACGACTGTTCCGAGTCCTCCTCCTTCATCAGACGGTGTCGTAATGAGTGGTGCTCTAGCAACTCCGGCTTCTACATCGAACCTGTCCATGGCAGAACGGCTCGGCATCAAGTCGACAAACGAAGACGACGCACAGAAACAGCGAGAAAAATCTGCGTAAGTTGGCGACATGTCCTGGTGTAAACAAGTTTACTAACACTCAAATCTCAGCGACCTGCTTACCAAAGAGGTATCCAGCATCAGCCTTGACAGGCCCGCTAGCGCTTCGGGCAAATCACAGCTTGAACAGCAGGTCGAACACTCTTTCGAAACAATATCTGTCAAAATCGCAGATCTCGGAAACGCCTGTTGGGTTGGGCACCACTTTACCAACGACATCCAGACCAGGCAGTACAGATCCCCAGAAGTTATCCTGGGCGGTAAGTGGGGTGCCAGTACTGACGTTTGGAGTATGGCTGCAATGGTATGACGAGTGACCTATCAGATGCAGGCAGCCTTGCTGACAGGGATAGACATTCGAACTCATCACGGGCGACTATCTTTTTGACCCACAATCCGGCACCAAGTATGGCAAGGACGACGATCATATTGCTCAGATTATTGAACTGTTGGGAACCTTCCCCAAAGGCTTATGCATGTCCGGTAAATGGTCACAGGAGATTTTTAATCGCAAAGGCGAGCTTCGCAACATTCACAGATTACGACATTGGGCGCTGCCAGATGTTCTGCACGAAAAATACCATTTCAGCACAGAGGAGAGCAAGAAGATTGCCGACTTTTTGTTGCCCATGTTGGAATTGCTACCCGCGGATCGAGCCAATGCTGGAGGAATGGCAGGTCATGAATTCTTGAAGGACACAAAGGGAATGGAGAATGTTAACTTGAATATTCCGGTTGGTAGCAAGGGCGAGGGCATAGAGGGTTGGGCTACGGAGGTTAAGAAGACCAGGTAGACCCAAACTATGCATGTTGAGAGGCCGAGGGGTTGCCGAGGACTGAAGATGCCGATGAGCTGTGAGCAATGACGAAGAGTTTTGCAAGCTTTCCGATGCCCTGACAATTTGTCAAGGTCCGCGAGCTATGCAAAGGCCGCGAGTCGTGAGCTGGAATTCAACCAGTACCAAATCTCGCAAAGGCCGGCCGAATACAAGATTCTCGTATGCAAAGCAGCTGTGCCTGATCTCAAGGTACCATGATCTGGCTGCGAAAACGGGGTGGCCGCCTCCTTGTGCGGGCGGTACGAGCTAGCGGCGGCGGCGGCGGCATTGCGACATGTACTTACGGCTTACTTGTGTGTTTTGGAACACGCAGCGTGAGAACAGTGTCTGGAACCCAGTGGCGAAAACGTATGAAATGGTTTGTATTTTCTTTTTTTTTCGTTCCTTCTTGTGCAGATTAGAGCCTTTTTTACGATTCATGAAGCGTGCAAAAGACGGATGTTTATGTTTTATCCCTCGAAGCAATGAAAGATTCACGAAGTATTATGTATAAAGTACACAGGAGATACGGGTAAAATGGGTCTAGCGATGCTAAACATAGTCCGCCTGACAGGCCCTCAGCCACACTTAGGAACAACACACGGAGACACTAGTGGATCGGGCGTCGTCATCACGAACCAAGTCAGCTTCAACACAGACCACGTGGGATGGCTGGGTGGTATTAGCTGCCAAATTCCTTCGTGTTCTTGGAGGCACCGGTGCCGAATTAAACGTCTTGTGTACGGGTACAGAGTACTAGGCACTGATTATGTGCATTGTGCGCCACCACGCTTTTTTGGTCGCTAACACACCTGGCGCTTGGGTCCAGGGGGCGACCTCGATGCGGACATGTCAAGCCCTTTGCGGACCGCACCAAGCCTGCAATGGATTCGCGCTATCCGATCAGGTGGTATACGGGATTCATGGATTCCTTTTTCTAAATTTGATGCTTGCATTGCTTCTCGGTTTCTAGACTGACGCTTTTTGTAGCCTAGTCGGCGCTAAGACCCTCTCTCTCTCTCTCTCTCTTATCATCTTGGGGGGGTTGGTTTCACACATATATATTCCATATGGGCTGAGCGGCTCTGTTCGGAATCCAGCATCATATCTCATATTGCCTTTTTCTTACCTCATCCTAATACGCCTCTTAATTATCTTACTTACCTTAATTACTTATATTTTTTTAATCCAAGTTCGCATATATACTTTTCTAAAAAGAAAATGTTGTTTCCTACCTCCCTACTCGTCTTGTCTGGCTTGACCTACTCTGTACTCGGTCAGACACATACAGACTGTAATCCTACCAAGAAGTGTAAGTCTCACCTTCATAGACTGAGAGAGTCTAATTTATGTCTCGCTCAAACTAACACTGTCCAGCATGTCCTGCCGCCCCAGCTCTCGATACATCATACTACAGCCGCGACTTCACCAAGGAGGGTGCCGACGATGACAACTGGAAAATGACCGCCTCAGGTGTCTCCTACAGCGACAAGGGCGCCGAATTCAAAATCTCCAAGAAAGGCGACCACCCCACCATCCAGTCCAAATGGTACATCTTCTTCGGCTCCGTCTCATTCCTTATGCGCGTAGCACCGGGCACCGGCATCGTCTCCTCGGCCATCCTCCAATCCGATGATCTCGACGAGATTGACTGGGAATGGCTAGGTGGCCAAGCCGCCGAAGTCCAAACCAACTACTTCTCCAAGGGCAACACAGCAACCTACAACCGCATGGCCAAAGCCGCGATCCCCTCTGGCAACGCCGAAACCGAGCTCCACAACTACACCATCTCGTGGACGCAAGACAGCATGCAGTGGATCATCGACGGCGGCGTGCAGCGCGAAGTCAAGTACTCTGACGTAAACTCCGCCTACGGATACCCACAAACGCCCATGAATGTGCGCATCGGCATCTGGGCGGGCGGCGATCCGGATAACTCCGAGGGCACGATTGAGTGGGCGGGCGGTCTTACGGATTTCGGAAAGGGACCGTACTCGATGGTTGTGGAGAAGGTCGAGGTTATCAATCATGCGCCGGCGAAGCAGTACCAATATGGCGATTTGAGCGGAACCTACGATAGCATTGTTGTGGATCAGAAGGGTGATGGAAGCGGTGATAAGAGCAAGTCTTCGTCTTCGTCTGCGTCTGCGTCTGCGTCTGCTTCCGCGTCTGCTTCCGCGTCAAAGTCCATGACTACTTCTGCTTCTGCTTCTGCTACCGCCAGCGCTTCTTCCTCGGCTACATCGGGTGCTAGCAGTGAGAGTGCCAGCAATGGGCCCAGCAAGACGGCGGCTGCGGCGGCAGCTGATCACGCTTCACCTTCCAGCAGTGCGCTGCCGGAATCCAACGGTGCGGGTGTTGAGAGCGTCAAGTGGAGGTACGCAGTGCTCATGGGCGCTGCTGCCATTGCATTTGCCATTTAAAAAAAAAGATATCCTCCAAAAAGCGAAGCGATTTTGTTTTATTTTTTGCTTGCTACAACACTGTATATACCGTGTTTAATACCCCATTTGAGCGTTTTTAGACGGAAGCAAAGAGAAAAGAAACAATTCAGTCTTGAATTGTTCAAGCCATTTTACTCGAAATTTCCAGCCGTGTGTCACTTTCCTGCAAATGAGACTCATGAAGATCATTTAAGATTAGTACGAGAAATTCGATATTTCAATCATCTGTGTTCTCACATCAGTGGGATCTAATCTCACTATTTGAACATCCGTGTCATCTTACTCATATCCCACCCCCCCCGAATTAACCCTAGCCATCTCACACACTTTTTTCGATTAACCTTCTTACTCATCCCCATGCAAACAAAACTCTCACGATTAACTTTTCGCCATAACAGCTTATCTCTACTTTACCTATCCAGACAAAGAAAAGAAAAGAAAAAAGAAACACGAGAGACAAAAGTAGAAAAAAGTTTTTACCCATGTACTTACTTCATAACTTATCCCCATACAAAATAATACATTCTTGGTATTTCTCATCAGCTCAACCACCCAAGCATCCACCCCCTTATCCTCCCCCACACCCGTCGTATCCCCTGTGCCTTGTCCTCCTCCTCTTCTACCCCTTGCCTCTCCAAATCCACATCTATATCTATATCCACGTCCACGCCCCTAACCATCTCCCCCCCATTCCTCCTCGCACGAGCCACCATCTCTCCCTCAACCACAGAATCGCACCTCGAGCCATCACAATCCGTTTGCAGTAGCCCTACCTGTGCCTGTTCCTGTGCCGGTACCCCAGGCGGACCCGCAAACTCGGGTGCAGACGGTAGCGCAGGCACGTTTTTGACAAAGACCCAGAGGGCGGGGCTGGGTTCTACGGGTTGCCAGCCGCTGAGCATGATATTCGGGGTAGGGGATCTCGGTCTTTCTTGTGAGGGTTGGCGGGAGGCGTGTGGGGAAGGGGGTTTGGGGCACGACTCGGATGGCGTTTCTTCATGATGAGAGGATGGAGGGGAGGTGTGCTTCACGTTGGATTCACGCGAGGGCGATGTGTGATGGTGGGCCCATTGGCTGGTGCTTGGCCTGCTTCTGGGTATAGGAGTTGTTGGTCGAGACATGGTGGTCTTAGTTGGGTGTTGTCCTTTTTTTTCCAAGTCTCGTTGTACACAACTCTCTATAACTATACCGGTGGTGGCCTCTGTTGACCTCAAGTCTGGCTTATGGTCTCTGATATTTTTGAGACATCTACTTTTGATTCACTCGGGGTTCTGTGTTTGTAGTCTCTGTAATCTCTGTAGCGCGGGAGTCGCAGATGTATCTTGGCGTGTGTTCGTAATGTCTGGATCTGCTGTGATGGCATAACGTGAATGTCCGTGAGAAAGGGAATATAGCACAAAGGAGCATCGCTTTTGTATGCTTAGACTGAATTCTTACACTGAATTCCTACACTGAAACCATGGTTGAGATTTAGGCTCCCTCATGGTAAGTCGGATGCTGCCCAAACGGAATGTCTGTAATTCAAACCACCCCCATTCTGCTTACAAAAACATGATATCTTACTTTTAACTGGCCAAACCTTTGCCAGAAATCCCCAGGTCATATCACAGTAGAACAGATGCTGTCAAACGCCGGTTGGCCCACAAATATACACAACGAATAAGGACGAACACAAAACATTAGCTATCCAGTTCAGCGACCCGATCTCGCCTTTGTTTGAGCTCTGCGCTCTTTCGCCGTTTCTATAATAGTGTTAGTATTTGCTATCAGGTCTGTGATTGAGATTGACTTACTCTCGTCGTATACCAAAAACTCATGTAGTGCACTGCCAGCGGGGACCATGGGCAGAACAGGCACCTTTTGGTCCGTCACAATCTCCAGCAGGGCTGGACCTTCGGTATCGAGCAGCCACTTGAGCGAATCCTCCAGCTCGTCGATTTTCATGCAGCGCTTGGCCTGAACACCCATGGCGTCACCGAGCTTGACAAAGTCGGCGTTACGCTGGTGAGTGTGGGAGAAACGGTCAGTGTAGAAGAGGGTTTGCCATTGTGTGACCATGCCCTGCTCCTCATTGTTAAGGATAATGACCTTGACACCAATGTTAAATTCAGCCGCGGTGGAGAGTTCAGTTAGAGTCATGCTAAAGGAAGAGTCGCCGTCGATGTCGATGACTGTGCAGTCTGGTCGTGCAACCTTGGCACCAATGGCGGCTGGCAGACCATAACCCATAGTACCGAGACCACCCGAGGTGATCATGGTACGCGGGTACCGCCATCGGTAGTGCTGAGCGCACCACATTTGATGCTGACCAACACCGGTAGTAAGAATGGTTTGTTCCTTGCGATCGGCTGTGAGATCTGAAAGCTTCTCCATGACAGTCTGAGGCTTGATCAACCCATTCTCGCCCTCCTTCTCGTAAGCCCAAGGGAAGCGCTTCTTCCATTCGGCAATTTGGCCCATCCACTCGGGACGGTCATCAACCTTGTTTACTAGAGGCAGGAGCTGCTTCAAATTTGTGCCAAGATCTCCCTCAACAGCCTCAGTCGCTTGTACGACCTTGTTGATGTTCTTTGGCATAATTTCAAAGTGAATGATTCCTCCACGGCCCTCGGCTGCAGCAGCCTTGGCAGCAGGAGCGAACTTGGAGATGGCACCGGTAATGCGGTCGTCGAAACGGGCGCCAAGAGCGAGAATGAGGTCGGCTTCCTGCATAGCCATGTTGGCATAGGCTGAGCCGTGCATACCCAGCATGTGCAGGGACTTGGGGTCGAGCTCGTCGAAACCTCCGAGGCCTTGTAGAGTGGTGGTGACGGGTATGGTAACCTTTTCAGCGAGTTCCTTGAGAAGGCGAGGGCCGTCTTCTGTTTGCAAGATACCCTGGCCAGCGTAGATGACGGGCTTCTTGGCCTTGTTGATCAGGTCGGCAGATCTCCTAATGGACTGGTCCAACTGCTGCTTGCTCAATTCCCTTGCGGCAATGGTGGCGGCACTGACGGTGGTGGGGAGGGTGCTGCTCATGGGGATGGCTCTTTGGAGAACGCTAGCAGTGACATCTTTGGGCAAGTCGACAAGAACAGGTCCTGGGCGGCCGCTGGTGGCAATCTCGAAAGCCTCGTTAATTCTCCTTGGTAGCTCGGCAATGTTCTTGACGAGGACATTCCACTTTGTGCAGGGCCTTGTGATGCCGACCATATCGGCTTCCTGGAAAGCGTCTGAGCCAATTGCGCTGGTGACGACCTGACCGCAGAAAACAACGAGAGGGGTTCCGTCCATGAGGGCATCCTGCATGGGTGTGACGACATTTGTGGCGCCAGGGCCAGAGGTGACGAGGACAACACCAGGCTTGCCACTTGCGCGAGCATAACCCTCGGCCATATGGCCTGCGCCCTGTTCATGTCGTGGGAGGATAAAGTCAAAGTGTTTGGACTGGTAAATGGCATCGAAAACGGGGAGAATGGCGCCGCCCGGGTATCCAACTGTTCACGTTAGTATAATTTCAAGACAGTGGCCTAAGAAAAAAATAAATAAAGAGTAGCGTACAGATGTGCTTGACGCCCTGACGGAGCATCATCTCGTGGAAAATCTGGCCGCCAGTCATGCCAACGAACGAGTGGTCCATTGCAGGTGAGCGGTACTGCTTCAATGGCTGGACACTGTCATAGTCGTCGCGGTTGAAGGCAGGCGATGGTCTTGAGCGCGGTTGCGATTGTGTGCCGGCGGCGGCAGTGCTCTGTGTTCGCTTTGCATCCTGGGAGGCGGCATTGGCAGTGAGGGCCTGGGCAGGCCTGCGGAAGGGCGAGACGGCAGCTTTGTGTGGTGTTGTGGAAAAGCAGCGGGTGCGGTTGAGAGCATTGATAGCTCGCGTGCGTGACTGGAGCATTATGAAGGCGGGCGTCCACGCAGGGGACGAAATACAGAGCAGCGACACTCAGAAAGAAAAAGCAAGAAGGGCAAGGGAGTGAGAAGGCGGGAGAGACGGGGTAATAATAAGCAAAAGCGTATTTGAGTCAAACCGTGTGGTCGCCGCTTGGGTCGACGGCCGGACAGAGTCGTGGCGCATCTGATGAAAAGTCAGTGGGGTCCGAGGTCGAGGCGGCGGGGGGTGTGATTGGCCCGTCCCCGCAGTTGCACCGTCTGCTGCCGAATATCGGAGCCTCCCCTGCTGCCGGCACTCTGCTCACCTCCACCACCACCTCCACCAAGACCGAAACCCCCGCTAAGCATCCGGTGTATGTGCTACTAGTCTAAGACGGACCCGTTTAGTATACATAAAGCACATACATACACACCTTCGTGCTGCACCTCGCTCCTCCATGCCATGCAGGCCCCCGCGCGACGAGGCCACGGGCGGGCGGCGTCAGGCCATGAACGTCGTCAGGGCATCGTCCGCCGCTCGACAAAGGGCCCGCTCGATGCCGAAGACGTGATCGTGGACGAGTATGCCCTCTCCCGCGCCCATTGCCCTGCGAAGAAGCTCCCACGACGACGACCTCGTGCTTACACGGCAATACAGCCCCCTGGCCGCCCCTCCAACACGTCCTGATGCTGCCCCGCAACCTCCTCCTCCACAGCAGCAGCAACACAATATACCCCCGGCCCGTGCCATTGACGACATGCCCTCCAAGGACTTCAGCTTCATGCAAGACCCCCAGGCCTATCACGTCCTGCCCGTCACAAACGTTCCGCCGCCCTTCCTCAACGCTCCACATGCCCCTCCTGTCTCGTCGCCCATAGACTCGCTCCTCTACTCGGGCCACTATCGCCTTGCTGCCATTGCTGCCGCCCGCAACCTGGTCTCCGCTGCCCCGGGCGACCACGACACCCTCTTCCACCTTGTTCATGTGCGTCTAGCATGTCTCTGTCTGCTGCAGGAGCATGCCCTCGCCGCCCAGGAGTCAAAGGTCCTGGGTGATTTGGCCAGTGCCTTCTACCGACACCCCCTCACAAATGCCCATCTCGTACCTTGGGAGCTGCGGCTCTTGGTCGTCCGATTGGCTGCCCTGGGCTATGGCGAGTGGCGCAAGGGTATCATGGGTTATTACGAGCTTGCGCGCGAATGCAGAGAAAACATTGTCAGGGGCCCAGAGTCTGAAAAAAAGCTATGGAGATCGCGGTTGCGTGACTGTGGCATCCGCGTTGCAAATGTCTTGGTGGAAATGGGCGACCTTGAGGGAGCTGGCCGGCACTTATCCACGCTGGCAGCCGACGAGGAGCAGACGAGAGAAATCGCCCTCATGGAAACGCTGGTCTGGCTCCGCGTGGGCCACGTGCAGGCCGCCCGTCGCTGTCTGGCCCGAGCCTCGGAAGCTTCCCCAGATGAGCTCATCGACGGCACCCTCAATGCCCTCCTCGAGCTCGCAAACTCTGATTACCAGGCTGCCGTAACATCGCTGCAGGCCCTTCGTGAAAAATTCTCAGACGACGCGATGGTGGCCCAGAACCTGGCCGTGTGTCTACTCTACACTGGACGTATCTCGGATGCAAAGAACATCCTGAACGACTTGGTTGACACCAGCCCGCCATTCCATTCCCTGATACTGAACCTGAGCACCGTCTTTGAACTTTGTACAGAGCGGAACCGCGACAAAAAACTGGCCCTGGCTGAAAAGCTCGCCAGTCGGAAAGAAGGCGCTGGTGACGTAGGCTGGGAACTCACTAACGCTGAGTTCAAATTGTAGTAGTATAGCGAGTGATCTGGATACCCCCAATAAAACATTAGATCGAATGCATCTTGATATCAATCGCCGCTCTTCCGCGTGTATCCTCGTTCCGCTATCTGCTTGGTCTTCGCAAGTCCAGAATATCTGATAGCTTCACATTGCCCTTTGCTCCCCAACCCGCAGTCCCTTGAGCCACGTCGGGTCGAACATGAACGTACCATCCCCAAGCACGTCTATCCAGTTCTTCTTTGCTCAATATGCTTGCCCAGGACTGATACAACAGTTCCAGTGCCCCTAGCAACAAACCCAGGTTTCGTTTCTTTTCCGCTGCCGTAGCATCCGCACTTTTCTTCATCTTGGCTTTTGTTTTGGTCGGCGCATCGCCTTCTTGCTTGATCCCATCTTCTGGTAGCTTCTCAAATGCCTTCAAAAGATACAGTCTAGGTCTCTCGGCTGGATAAATCGGCAGATTTTCCCGTCCGCTCGTGGAGTGCGTCGAACCACCCGGCTGGTTGGCCTTCTTCAACTCATCTAGATCAATAGCCCACAGCGCAGTCTCCTTCGCTCTTTCCTCACCTGCTGTGTCGGCGAAATACTTGGTTGTTCGCTGGGTCCCGTAGCCTTCGTCCTCCCACTCGTATCCCCACCGCTTCATGACCCGTATCTCGCGCGTCATGATGCGCATAACCGGCTGTCCCTCACCCCACCCTTCTTCTTCCGCAGGCCGCCCCTTGTCCAGCCCAATGTGCACAGCTTTCGTCTTGCTATTCATAGATGTGACTGCTTGGGCGAGACTCAACCTACTCGAGATTGGCTGCTCAGGCATCGTATACTTTATCAACGTGACAGCAAATGCAAGTAACAGAGGTGCGCGATTGGTATATAGCACCGTCGCCGTCAACGCCTCTTCGTTCGTCTCTGCTTCTGGCAGTGCAAGCTCCGCCTCAAGCTCCGCGCCACTCAGTGGCTGGCCAAACGTGGCTTTCGACTTCGCCTTCTTGACTGGCAACGGCGCAGATGCCATTGTAGCGCCATCTTGATCTGCGGCCGTCCGTTTCTTGGAGACTCGTTTCGCGGCATTGAGACATTGTCGTGCTGCTTTCTCATCCCCAAAAATGTCCTTGAGCGTTGCGAAATCGGCTTTTGATATGTCTAGAGCGCTGGTACCGTGCGTTTGGCGTTAGTGGGGTGTTGAAACGCGGTGTTGCGCTGTCACGTGCTTACGTGTTGAGTCTCGCTGCTTGCAGATCAGGCACCTTGCCCATGGCCTGCTTGAGAGGGACTTTGGCCTCTTGGTTGAGGAAGCGAAGGAGAGCAGGGATATCCTGTGTAGAAGCCATGGCGGGCGCTTTGCTCTACCAGTCTGTCTTGTTTGTCTGTGTTGCGATGGGCATGACGTTATGGGATGGCAGTCCGGGATCTTGAAAGTTACCGGCTGTCGGGATGGACGCGCTAGTTTGCATCTCTCATGGTCCTGTCGCAAGCTCAACCTTGACACTTGCACACTCATCCCTCGACACCCCATGTCGCATTACCCCTACTCAATCTCAGTTGAATCCCAATCATGGCTTTCAAGTTCTCTCTCGGCAGCGCGAAAGCCAACAAGGCGCAATTAAATTCAAAGGCCAAAGAAGATGAAGAGGCAAAGGCACGGGAAGAGAAGAATGCCCTCGACAAGGTCATGGCAGATTTCGAGGCCGAGCATGGGGGCGAGAAAAGCGTACTGGGCGAGTCGGAGCGCGACCAGGAGGCCGACAATGTATTCGTTCCAACTGGAAGTAAGAGGCACTTTACAGGCAGACAGAGGACCATGAAAAGCGGCCCTGGTACACTCGACGCTGAGCCTCTCGACGGCTACCCAAGGCCTGGAGTCACTCCGGGGCGTCCTGCACAACAAATGCCGTCGCGATTTGGTGTGTCGGCACCTACCGGCCCTGCTGCGTTGCATGGCCCAAAGCCGACCGAGAATGTGTTTACGACCGTCGTAGCAAAAGCATCCAACCTCCCGCCTGCCATTGATCCACGCCGGGTAGAAGAACTCTTTGCCGATTTCCCATCACTGAAAATTACAAGAGTTGAGAAGATACCACCGCAGGGCCCGTCACCCAAAGGCCGGCCGTCTGCAACAATGAAGGTCATATTCGACAAGGATGCGAGTGCGCGCGACTTGGACGATGCTATGAATAAACTCAACGACAAAAAGTATCTAGGCAAGGGTTACTATCTACACTTGGATAGATATCTGGGCGGCCGCTCGGCAGATACAGCACAGCGCACAGAGCCATTTGGTGCACGATGGCAGGCGCCTGAGATCCCAAAGGGTTTTGCACCACCCCCCGATCTAGGTGGTGGTGGCGGTGGGAGAGATAGACCTCGCGAAGACACCGAGCAACTCATTGTCACCGCCAACCAGCCCCCAGACATTGCGACGCTAAGACTAGTGCACCAGACCATAGAGGGCGTGATACTAGGCGGTGTGGAGTTTGAGGCTGCATTGATGAACGATGCGCAAATACAAGAAGAAGAACGCTTCGCTTGGCTCTATGACCAAAAGCATCCTGTGAACCGCTATTACCGATGGCGCTTACACCAGATTGTCTGTGACAGTCCGAACCCAGAGATTTTTGAGCGCCAGGGTGACTGGCGCGGGCCTCTAGATCCCCTTGCCGACGAGTTTGCCGACCACTTGGGCGCATTTGATTCAGAAGATGACATGATGGATAGTGATGATGAAGAGGAGAAGGAGAAGCCACAGTACAAGCCTCTTCCAGTTGGAGATAATTATCCTGGACGGGTTGATAATGGACACGGCATCATGAGTCCGCGGTCAAGAGCCATGCTTCTATGGTTGCTCACATCCCTTCCGCCTGGTAGCATTGTCGCCGATGACATTGCTGCCATTTCAAATTTTGCAGTCGAACACGCTGGACAGGGCATGGACGAAGTGGTGCACATTCTTGTCTCAAACATCATACACCCCTTTCAGCTCACTGATACCAATCCGAGGAACAGGCCAGCTGATGCAGACACAAAAGACGATCTTCGCCGACCTGATACCCGACAGGTGACGCTGAATGCTTTGCGCATTATTTCAGATGTACTTCTTGTCACTGCAAAAGAGTCTGGAGTGTCGTACAAATATCGTCTTGCGATAGCTACAGAGCTTGTGGGCCGCAAAGTGTTTGAACATCTTGAGCAGTTACCTTCGCAGCTGGAAATGGGTCGGATGACTGAGAGAAGCTACCGGGATGAAGTCAACGTCATTCTCAAGGTATGGCAGGAAGAGCATTTGTTCGACGAGTCGACGCTCAGCCATCTTGACGAGGCGTTTAACGCGCGCGAGAGGCAGAAGGAGGAGGAGGAACAGGCAAGGCGATTAGCAGAAAAGAGGAAACGGAAGAGCAATGTAGTCCGTAAAGCGGTTAGCACTGGCGGTGAAGATGGAGACGAGGATGAGAAGATGCATGTCGATGACGAGACACGCAACGATGGCACCGAGGGTGACATGGATCAAGGATCGGGCATGGAAGCAGAAGAAGTGCCCATGGCTACAGACGCGGTTGAACCCGCCCTTGCACAATCTGAGGCCGACGTGATTCCCGGGGAGACGGCGGTAGCAAGGGCTCGCCGGTTGCGGCCGAGGGCAGAGGACATGTTTGCCCTGGATGAGGACGAGTGAGGGGCGGAGTAGAGGCCTGGGGATGTCATGAGACGGCTGTCCATGGGGGGTTGAAGGGTGTTGAATTGATTGATTGTGTTTGTGTATATACTTAGAACAATCGGTGGCGCGAGGGCCGTGGTGATATACTTGGAGTGTAGAATAGCGGGCCTGCAGAAGCAACACAGGCGCCATGCCGCTAGCACAACGCACCCCACCCTGGATCGCCGTTCAGCATGACCCCTGATTCGATATGCTTGGTGAACATATGGTGATCGCACAGAGATGTCGTGGAGGCGCGTGAATTTGATGGCGTTTTCCAAGATAGCTGGCGGTGGCAACATGATTGGCCCAAGGGGGCACCCGTGGAGCGCCGTGAACATGGTGGGACCGCCCGCTACGGAAGCTCTCCGCCTAAACCAACAACACAGACACTTGGAGTTGCTACCTCACACCGCCTCGCCGCCCTTTTTCGCCTACTTACTCGCGCAGCTGCCCCTCCGGCAGCGGCTTACGTCCGCAGGGATATTTTCTCCCTCCATTCATTCTCTGCCAAGACCAGCGCTCTTCCGCTGCCATCTCCGCAGCTTCACGCCGCCCAGTCCTCCACCACCACCACTTGCTCTCCCTCTCCCGCCGCCCTCGCTGTTCCCCCCCCCTCCTCCTCCTTCCCCCCACACGCCCGCTGCCCACCATGCCGACCTTTTTGGGCCTGGCGGTCTCGATACACGCCGATTCCAACCCGCTGCCCGAGTATTCCATCCAGAAGCAATCAAAGTACCACCGTATCACGTCGTATATCCCCGTGCCCCCAGCAAAGATCCCCCCCGGCGCCACCAAGCCTGAGCAGTCGTCTTTTGCAATCTCCATCACCCTGCTCACTCCAGGTCTGCACGTCCCATACTCGACCCCGAAGCCCACGCCCGAAGAACCCAACCCCAAACCCAAGATTGTGGGTGGCCTGCCCGGCCAAACTGGTGAGCGGGGCAAGTACAGTCCCACGATAGCCCCGTACAAGCCCCTCACCACCTCGCCAAACGAGACCATCGCCGCGTACATTTACTTTGACGGAAGGGCAAAGGAGGAGGTTGCGACTCTGCTGCGTCGCGGCGAGGAGACGTGGGTCAATTCACGGTGGGTCAGCGTACCAGAGTCGGAAGGTGGGGGACTCGCCGAACGCGAGTTTCTCTTCCGCGAGGTCGGACTCGAGCGATGGCTCAATGGCCTTGATCTCGAAGGCAAGGATAAAGACGTGGCTGCAAAGATTGAGCGGAGAAAGCAACGCCTGGAGAAGAAGCGGGCAAAGCGGAGAGAAGCTATGAACAGTAGCGATGAAGAAGACAAGAAGCCCTCCACCAACGGCGTGCTGCGCTACAGCGAAAGCCAGGACGCGCCTGTCGAAACACTCTCTGGCAACGACGAATTCTTCACCACCGACTCTGATTCTGAAGACGAGCCCCCTATGCCCGAAGCCGCAGGACAAATCAAGGTTGCCTTGTTCCGTGTTTTAGCATCCGGAGAGATCAAGCGTGGCGAGTACTCGCCGCAATTCGACGCACACGACGACGACGAACAGAACGGCGGAGAGGGTGACGATGTCGACCACACTACAAGTTTTGCGAAGCCAAAGACACTGGATCCCAAGTCCATCAGCACCCAGACTGTGACTGGTATAGATCCTCCGGACAAGCCCTACGCCGTCTTCACCTTCTTGTACCGCGGAGAGCGTAAGTTGCAAAATTCATAGATAAGAGTGAATATACTAACCCCGAACAGGCCAGTTGCGCAAGATGGGAATTCTGACCAGCAAGGAGCCGCCCAAGGTCACTTCGCCAGCCGCCAAGCGAAAGTCAGGAACACTCGACTTTGGCAGCCTCAAGCCCCTCAACGCAGATGCTGGAACAAAGAACTTTGGCGGCTACCGGGAAACATCCCCAAAATCCAAGAAAAAGAATCAAGACGCCATGGACAGTGACGCAGATGATGAAGACGATGTCAAGCTGGAAGATGTGGATGACGACAAAGATGTCATTGACAAGGGCCTACTATCGCCAGAAGATGCTTTGAAACAGGGCGAACTTGCAGAGGGTGTGCGTAAGATCAAGGTATGTTATCTAGTTGTAAGATTCGGTACGCAATGCTGACACTGCACAGCTCAAACGTCAACACTCTGCCGAGCCGGTGGGTCGTCCTGCAGGTGCTTCAATTTCAGACGCCTCCGGATCTCCTCTATCTGGCACACCAGCGCCCGATGCTTCTTCTTCAAACGATGCCTCGAACTCCGCACCTGCAAACTTGTCAGAAAATAATTCCTCGAACCCCCTCGCATCGCCCTTTAAGAAGCAACGCGCCTCATTACCGGGATTTGATGAGAGTGTCCGCAAGAGCCTCGGCCAAGCGTTAATGGGCGCCCAGAAAGAGCGAGGGAACTCTGATGGCAACATTCCTACTATTGAATCCAAGATGGAAGAAGACGAAGAGTTGTAGACATTGGGGAAACATTCGACGTCCCAGCATGCATTTGGGCGGTGCAACGACTTGTTATCATATTTTGTCTCTGACCTGTTTGCGTTTTACGCCATGACGTTTTGTAGCCACGCGACATTACGAACCCCCCCAATGGATACCGGCCGAGCGTCCATTTCATCCAAAGTGCGCATCATCTTGGATCGGAAAAGAAAATCCGAACTGAGACGCGGGCCTGTGGTGGTTGGGATGTTTGAATATCCAATTCTATTTGGCGGGAAATATTTTTTCTTCTTTTACGGATCGGTGGGTAAACACTTGTACACGAGGAATGGGCTTTTTGTTTCTTATGTTTTGATGCCTCGGCTTCTTAGCGAAGACAGATGTGTGACGGCATTAGTAACGGTAGATGAAATGAGTATGAGAAATCGATGTGATGACAACACTGATATATTTTTGTATTCTGGGTGCGTGATTTCATGTATCCGAATAATATTTTTTCTTCTCATTTTTGGCGATAAACGTTATGTACTAGTAGGTTGCCATCCAGCAATATCTAACAGGCTACCAATTGCCTTTACACGTTGCTTGTCTCCATTTTTTCCTTGTAACTCGATATTCTGTACACCTTTGCCTAACCCTTGGTCTCGCTGCAGTAACAAAGCACCCCACCCTGCTCCTTTTGCACCTAGATAATCCTTGTCCAGATCATCGCCTACATGGAGTTTTTCAAAGTCGCTCGCTTGTAGACCTTTTTCCTGCGCATCAAAGCTGCTTGATACGACGTCACGAAGCATTTCCTCTGCAAGAGAGAAAATCACAGGGTGCGGTTTTTCGACGCTGGCGTCATAGGATAGGAGTACAAAATCAACATCTTGATCTCGTGCAATCGTATTTACTTGTTTTGTGCTGTTGTTGCTATTGCTGTACCGGAGAGATGCCACGTCCAAGCCAAACGAGGATAAGATGGACGGAATGCGATTGTCAGAGTTTGTGATTATGCCCACGATGGTCGTGTCCCATGGCCATGAGGATGAGCGCTGCTGTTTTGCATTGCGCAATATGCTAAACAACGAGTTGACGTCGTCGAATACTCTGTATCCCTTGCTTGACGAGTAGTGTTCAAGGAGTTCGCTGGTGAGTTTCTGGGAAACTGTCTGGCCTTGTTGCAGGAATGGGGCAAAGGTGTCTTTGATAATGGTTTCCCACCATTTTTCGGGGCTGAGACCTACGGTAGATTTGCCGTAGTTTGGGTATTTTTGAGACGTGGTTTTGAATGCAGATTTGAAGCTTGAGGCTAGGCTTTGGGTAGAGGGAATCTGGATCCCGTGACGGGATGCTGCTTGTGCGTAGGCGGTTGGGATGGGAGTACTAGGGGTGAAGAGGGTATCGAAGGCGTCGAGGCAGAGGAGAAGGTTCTTTCGTTTATAGGGCGGCATGATAAAAATTAATTGAATAGACTCGCTGTATAAAAGCCGGTTCTCTAATCTTGGTAAGCATGCAAGACTGGTGATCCAGACCTTGTAGTGCGGTCGTGGAGTGAGGACATGGACGAAACGGGTTAGGTCAGGGTCCTCCCTCCCTCGCGTTGCACTGCGATGCGGACACGATCACCTCGGCGATCATCCCTCAACTTTGAACAATCACAACTCTCAACTCCAGTCGCTCGTTCCCCCAATTCGCAATACAGCACCTTCACCATGGCACCCGAGGCGAACAAGAACAAGTACTCCATACTTTTGCCCACATACAATGAGCGCCGCAACCTCCCTATCATAACATGGCTGCTCAACAAGACATTCACCGAGAAGTACGTTGCTGCCATTCCTCCTCGTTTCTTGCACTCCTGGCTCTTACTAACTCTGTCTCGCAGCAACCTCGATTGGGAACTTATCATTGTCGACGACGGCTCTCCAGACGGCACCCAAGAAGTCGCCGCCCAGCTCCAAAAAGTCTACTCCCCCGAACGCATCCAGATCCGCGCACGCGCAGGCAAATTGGGCCTCGGCACAGCTTACGTTCACGGCCTACAATTCGCAACCGGCAACTTTGTCATCATCATGGACGCGGATTTCTCCCACCACCCCAAGTTCATCGCGCCCATGATTGCGCTCCAGAAGACGAAGAACTACGACATTGTTACCGGAACACGGTATGCGGGCAACGGCGGTGTCTACGGCTGGGATCTTAAGCGCAAGTTTGTTAGTAGGGGTGCGAATCTGTTCGCGGATACTGTCCTCAGACCCGGCGTCAGCGATCTCACGGGCTCCTTCAGGCTGTACAAGAAGGAGATTCTGCAAAAAGTTATCCGGAGCACAGAGAGCAAAGGATATACATTCCAGATGGAGATGATGGTACGCGCAAAGGCTATGGGCTGCACGGTTGGCGAGGTTCCGATTTCGTTTGTTGATCGTCTTTACGGCGAGAGCAAGCTCGGTGGAGATGAGATTGTAGAATATGCCAAGGGCGTGTTGAACCTGTGGCTGAAGGTCTAGAAGGGGCAGGGAAAGGTTGATTGGCGTTGAGTAACGTGGGATGGGTCTCAAGATATCCTAGGCTGAACTGGACTGGACTGGACTGGGTGAGAGATATGACGCTACCCTTGAATCTTTCTTTTTCTTTGTGTGTCTTGATATAAACTTTTAAATGATAATCTTCTCATCACCCTAAGCTTCATCTTGTACAGCACATGCGAGTCTCCCACCATTCTCTAACATACAAACAAAAAAAACTTTTGGACCAAATCCCACATCAATTCTAGCACAACCAACCTGAATCCTTCGTTAGAAAACAGCCATGCCCATACTCCACTACACTCCCGTCACTCCCTCCACAAGCCCCAACGCCCGAATCACCTCACCAAACTGCAACAACTCTTTCCTCACCACCTCACACGCCTTCCTCTTCTCTTGCATTTCTCCCCTCAAAACATCAACCGTCGCACTGAGTCCCTGCATCGTCTGTAGCACCCCCAGCGCCGTGTCCAAAGTCTTCATGTGCAAAGTCGTGGCAGCAACGGCTTCTTGCACCACGGCGTGGAAGAGGTCGCGCGTGCTGATTGCTAAGGGGGGAAATGGAGCGATGAATCCGTTGATACGGGGGTAACGGGGTAGTTGCTCGGCTTGAGCTGCAGGAGCTGGAGGTAGTTGGTGATGATGGGGTGGAAGTGGTGGAACACGAGTCGTACGACGTGTGCTTGTTCTTGTGCATTCTGCGGGTGCAGCTGGTGTCTGATGCCTCTTCGTCACGCCATGATGGCGGGTCGTGTGGGTAGCGAGGGGGTTCGAGAATGAGCGACTCGTCGGATTCGTTGGTGCTGGGGGGAGCACTGCGTGTCATCTTTCGGTACCTCAAGAAGAGGGGGCCGCGTTTGAAGATGTGGCGGAGGAGGCTGTCTTGCGCCATTTGGTGAGCTGGTTTGTGGGTAGTTGGGGGCGGAGGGCAACTAAGGTGTTGGGTGATCATTTAGTGTAGTGGGGGTAGGCAAAGTAAAATGAAGTGGATTGAAAGCTATGGAGATTGTAGTTGGAGGATAAAGTGATGTGGTGGTGGGTTGATAGCGCTGGTGTTGAGAGGCTAAGCTGTCTTACATATACTTGAATAAGACAATCTTTGTAGGGCACTTCAGGTCTCAGCTGCAGAGTGACATGAAATTGAAGTAGTGGATTTCGTCGCTCTCAGTGTTCAGAGTTCGACCCGTGACTCAGGGCTTGGAGGCTTCATGGACTCAGACATGTTAATTTCAGACATTTCCACAAGCGGTGTTGGTGAAGAGTGAAAAACCAGCGACTTTTTGTTTCGACATGAAGGAGGGTATTGGATACCTCTTTGAATCAATGATCGACCCTTGATTTAGACGACATGACAAAGCTGTGAAGCCATGAAGAAGTGTTCATGGCTTCCCAATCTCAGAGAGATGCTGAGAACCGAGGAGTAAAGCTTAGACCGACTAGACATTGGGGGCGCCACGGTACCGTATAAGAAGACTGAGGTTCCGAGGTCATAATTCCAAAGCATGACAATGGAGTCGATTGATAGTACAAGTAGGTACCTATGCTTTAGTACACCGATGTCCTAGCAAAGAAAGTTCATAATGCGAGCCAGAACTTCGTTTTCGATGATTCTTCTTGAGTGCATAAAGACCGCAGTGGCGATTTCCGCATGCAGACTAACAGTTAAGCATTAACAATATCCGACATAAAACAGTCTGAATGATAGACGCTAGATGTCTGCCTAGGCTAGGTTGTGGTTGTGGTCAGTAACAAATCCTTCCAAAAGCCCTCTACCATCTAGCGAGGTGAGTCATAGTTACATCCGCGGAAGACTAGAAGAAACGTTAGCTAGTGTTACCGGAGCGTATCCCAAAAGGTAGTGATCGTACAAGTGGGTCGCGCCATGGATTGATTCCGCGGAGCGGTGTAGATGCGAACATCCAGCCATATGATCCGAGGCAGGGATATTAGGCTGGAGGATTTCAAGATAGGGCGCATCGTAGTGGGGCAGAGCCGCAAAAGCTTGTAGGTAGATTCACAGTGTAGCTTATGCACCCCTGTTTAAGTGGGGGATGTACTTGGTCTCCCATGACCCCACCTAGGACCTCCCCCGTCTTGCAACTTGATACAACCTATTCTTGAAACATGCTAGATTGGTATTGGTAAATCATCTTATTACAGAGGACTGCTTGGCGACAAACCATTGGTCTATAATGAAGCTCGCGCTGAACCAGAAAGGGTTTTCTACACTAAGTGTTCACACATTGTCCATTCCCCTCTCCGGTTACGTCATTGACACTGTTTTAACAAGCTATTCTTGACTATTTGATCCATACGACTCGTATGGTTGGCTATATTACATTCCTTTCGAAGGTGTTGAGTAGGGAAATTTAGTCGAAAGTTTTGATAATCAACTTGTCTGGCAACTGGTAGTAAGACTATTGGATATTGTGATCCTCACTCGCATACAATTTGGAAATCAAGGTTCTCTGGTGTCTCTGAAGAATGTGATATTGATTGATGAGGAAATAAACAAAAAAAGTTCGAAATACCGCCTATTCCACTCGAAGCAGTATGAATGCCAAGTTAGACGCCTTTTTAAAAAACCAACTCTAATGAAACTTTTTTCCCAAGTTTCCCATGCGCGAAAAACAATCCAAAAAACCAATGACCCATATATCTAAGAAATTATAGAAAAAAGGAAAATTCATCTACGAGTCGAAAATAGCACCATAAGCTGGAATGCCTCGGGCTTCCATATCATACACAATCTTGGTTGTGAACTTCTTGTTGCTGATCACACAAACAGCTTCAGCTCCACTCTCTTTCCATAGCTGGTACGCGATCAAGGACATATTGGGCTTTCCTTGCGTTCTCGTGTTCCAGATGACTGCTTGTGAATCTGTAGCTTTGACGCTGTCCACAATCTTTTGACCAAATGTCTGTTCAGGGTTTGGTGCAGTCCACAGGATGCGACAAGGTACTTTCTGAGCGAGGATGACAGCTAGGCAAGGTCCGATACCTGATCCTGTTGCGACAAGGACGACTGACTTGAAGAGTGTGGCTATGCGGAGAACACCGCAAGTCGGGATACCACGGACGTAGATATGGGTCGGTGCGCGCTCAATTGTGCGGCCTGTAAAGTCACCTGCGCGGCTCACAATAAGTGAGAATCCATTGCCTTCGGGATTGGTAATGGTGGCAAAGCCGTGCCAGTCGATCAAGGGACGTTCTGCAAGTCTGACAGCAGTCCCGACAACAGGAGTCGTGTAATCGAACCAAAGCCGGATAGCATGGTTTGAGAGAACCTCGGAGCGGACGGGTACTTTGCGTAGATGCAGCCATGGGAAGATGATGGCTGCTGTCGCGACGGAGAGAAGCCAAATACCTGGGGAGCGCAAATAGGCGGTTGCGATCGGCAGCTCGGGATTAAGGTCCTTGGTTGCAAGGAATGTAAGTGTCCAGAGCAATGCGAGACAAGTCCAACCACCGAATCGATGGGTCATCTCCCATAGATTGTGGTATTTGGCGCGGAAGGTTGGGTGCGAAGTCGATCCAATGGCGAGCAAGATGAGAAGCGCAAGCCACGATACTACGACCGGAGCTACCGAGATTCGACGCATGTATGCCGGCTGTGCCAAATCCACGGTACCGTCAATGGTGAATATAAAATGCCACATTATGGCTGCCATTGCACATCCGCTGTGGATACCACCAATGTGGAAGATTCGAGCGCACTGGCGTCGTATAGCTAGAGGAAAGAAGGTCTGTATATTGAGAATTACAGTCAGTCATCATTTCATAAGTCCATGATATACAGCGATTGCTTACCGGAACAGAGCAAAAAACGGTAAAAAGAAGGTTGACGACTGGCTCCGAGCGCATGAGGACAGCTACGACGAGATTGGCAGCTGTGGCTAGAGACAAGTTGGCGAGAATGTCCCTGTTTTGTCCAATCCTGCGGTGCAGAAGAAATACAGCCACCCCGATGTTCGCCAGTATGACGACAGACAGGAAGCGGCGGTAAAGAATAAGTCCGCGATGTCGAACCCAGCGTAGACCGTGGTAACTGTTCTTCGGTGGCAGGGCTTCTGGTAGCTTTTCAGCCAGATCCACTGAAGAGCTGGTTCCCTCAGAATCGCCGCTAGTAATGATGACAGCCATCTTCTCTGGATCCTTGAGAGAGGCAGTGGAAGATCCACCAGAAGAGTAGGTCTCCACATTGACACTGACTGTGTTCGGCTTGAGAGTTTCTGTAGACTTCTCGCTCTTGGGTGTGTGGCTAGGCTGGGCAGAAGCGAGTTCTCTGAGAATTTTTCGATCGACTTTGCCGTTATTTGTAAGTGGTATGGAGTCGACCTTGACCCATTTCTCTGGAACAGAGTAATAAGGAAGATGCTTCTGGGTGAAAATTTTGAGATCTTCTTCGTCAACTGAACCCTCTGTGGCATAAAAAGCACAGAGCGCGTTCTCGACGAGCAGTGCTGCACCTCGTCTCACGTTTTGGAACGACTAATTCCGTTAGCAATCTCATAAAATGTTCAAAATAGGGGCTATTCACCTCAACGACGGCTGTGATTCCATCAAGTTCAACACGGAAACCCTTGATCTTCACTTGGTCATCTTCACGACCGAGCATATCAAGCGAACCATCTTCGTTCCACCGTGCGATATCACCGGTGTTGAACATTCGTGATCTGCGCTGTGTAAGTACAATGTGATACGAAAGATAGTCCATGAAACATACCCATCATTGACGAATTTGTCATGCTTGTAACGACGAGCAGTAAGTTCAGGCAAATTGATATAGCCTCGAGTCACACCAGCTCCACCAACCCACATGGTTCCCTTTTCTCCCACAGGAACCGGTTGCTCGTCTGCGTCGAGAAGGTAGCATGTCGTGTTGGGCAATGGCTTTCCAATGGACAAAAACTGGCCTGGGGTATGTCGATGTGCTGAATTAAGAATGGTAATCTCCGTTGGCCCACAAATGTTGTAGAAGCATGCATTTTCAGCCCACTCATCAGCCAGTCTAATTAACCGTTAAAATCGTTCGTAGATAGCTTCGAAGAAAGAAAACTCACGCTTTTGGGCAAGGCTCACCGCCTGTCACGACATATTTGATGTTTGGAAAAGCCTGTCGACGGTACTTTGACAGGATGGATGGGGTGGAAATAAGTGTATCCACCTATGGCTCGGTTAGTAGGTGATTGGTCAGATTTGGTGGCTAAACGGAAGCGCTTACCTCACGGAGCGTGGCTGTCCAGTCTGACCCCCGCAAGTATAGGGTACCACCATTCATAAGACATGCCAGTATTTCCCATGCACCTGGTTACTTGTTAGGTAATTTTCTTGGAAATTTTCTTGGAAATTTTCTATGGAGCTTACCCATGTCGAATGCAATGTTGAGTACTTGTGCAACTTTGGACCCCACGGTAATGTCAAGTCGCGCTGGGTTTAACAACAAAGCGTTTGTGACATTTGAATGCGCAACGTCGACACCCTTGGGTGTACCGGTACTGCCTAAATAGAGATGGTAAGCAATGATTGGCTTGTATAGTGCGTTAACTTACCGG